CCTGCCGCGGGGCCTGTGGGGCAGGCGCCGCTGCGGCGGCCGCCTGGGTGGCGGGGTGGGCGGCCGGGGCGGCCACTGTCCCGCGTGAGGACACACACAACCACACACAACCACACACAGACACACACACACACACACACACACACACACACACACACGCACGCACGCACGCACGCACGCACACACACACACACACACACGCACAACCATACACACACATTAAGGTGCGCGGCTGGATGGGCGGCCGGGGCGGCCGCCTGGGTGGCTGGATGGGCGGCCGGGGCGGCGGGTTCTACGAGGACGACGGCGGACGAGGCGCGCGCAGCAGCCGCATGGAACCCAAAGCCCTCAGCAGCCCAGATGAAGAGCCGGAATCTATACTGTACACCGACGCTTGTCGGGCCCCGCGCTTGAACTCGCACAGGAGAGCGGATCCTGGTGTATACGGGATCCTGGTGTATACATGTTTCATTGCTTCCCCGGGAGAACGGGGACAAAAAGGATACACCACACCACCCCGACGTCGTCCCCGACCACCCTAAAACTCCCGGGATTGAAGAAACAGCTCGCAACTGGTAATGTACGCGCTACCGTTTCCGACAAAGCCCTCAGCTACCTGGAGATCCAGCAATGACAAGAGACGGTCCAGCGCCTCTCAGCTTTTGGCCTCAGGAGGCCCTCGCCGAGCCCCAGGGTGGCCAAGGCACGACTCGGGACGACAAGGCCGGCCCCCGGGGAACTGGACGCGACTGCCGAAGGCCCCGCACGGCAACGAAAACAAGACATCGGATCTCTGGGAAGGCGGGTCTCGCCAAGCGAAGCTCGGCAGCGCAGGCCATCTCTGCTCGCCTGCGGGCCGTTCTCGCCCCCCCTTTGGCAGTTACACGCCAGGGTCGCGATGTCTGTGGCGCTGTGAATTCATCGCTCTCTCCCGACCTGCCTCCCCGCTTCCCTCTGCCCCTCGCTCCCCTTTCCACCCTCCCGCTCTTGCTCACTTCTTCCTCCTCCTCCTCCTCCCCCTCCTCCTCCTCCTCCTCCTCCTCCTCATCCTTCTTATCTTCTTGCTCCTCGTGCTCCTCGTGCTCCTCGTTGTCGTCGTCGTCCTCCTCCTCCTCCTGCTGCTCCTCCTGCTGCTCCTCCTCCTCCTCTTCCCCCCTCCTCCCTCGCTCCGCCACCCTCCTCCTTCCTCCACCGCATCATCCTGTTGCCCCCCGCTCCTGCCCCCTTCGTCCTGCAGGGGTCTCCCGGCTTGCACGGGGGCCTCGCCGCAATCCGCGGGCGTGCCAGCCTTGCCGTCGCCCTCGTCCGCCCGCGCTGCCAGCGCTACCGGCCGATGGAGATGGAGTCCGCATAGCCCCGCGGAGGGAGCGACTGACAGGCAGCGGGTCCCACGGGCTTCAGCCCCCTCCCAACCCCGCAGTTACATGATAGCCAACGTGTGCCCAAACTGTGCGGGTAGCAATCGATGTAGTGCAATGTGTGCATGGTGCACACACGATGTGATGCAAGAGGTGCTCTGAGCTCTACGTGGTGCAGTTCGCGTTGTGCAATCTACCTGGTGCAATATATGCGCCTCGGTCGATACATGTAAATACAAAGGTGCATACATAGTGCGCATATAAATGTATCACTGTATGTACGTTGCGCAAGTTCTGTGGTGCAACCGATGTGGTGCAAGCTATGTGATGCGCTCTACGTTGCCCAATCGATGTGGCGCGGTCGATGTGGTGAAATCTACGCGGTGCAACGTATATGGCGCACTCTACGTGGTGCAGTACAACTTGCGCGCTTTAGTATATGTTGCGCAAACTGCATGGGGCAATCTCAGTGGCGCCATCCGTGTAATGCGCTCTATGTTGTGCACCCATGGTGGTGCCGAGCTTGACGTTGTCAGCTCCACTGCTCGCGACATCATCCCACCCACCCACCCGCAAATTGATTTCCCAAACCCATGCGGTGGCGATTTCGATGACTGTTTGGTGTTGGCTGGCGCATCGCTGCGGCCGCGCTAGCGCGCGCAAGTTCGCGCGGAGAACGCACCTCTAGTGTGGCGCGACCGGAATCCACAAGTTCGCCTCGCAGGCCGCGCTGACACGCGGGCATTCTGGTGCGAGTCGGTAATTCGGGCGGGCGCCGTATCGTGGCGATGTCGGCAACGGCAGGCGCGGTGATAACAGTAGCGATGCTGGTCACGAGGATGGTCACTGGTCAGATGACGACGGCAAGGCCGCTGGCGTCGCCAATGCTGACCACGTCGGTGACGATGATGGTGTCCACGCGTCGGCGACGGAAGCTTTGGACACTGTCGACATGCGGGCGCGGCCGACGGGCGCGACTGGACCGAATGGTATGATTTGAGCCGGGTCGTCCCCCCCCCCCGCCGCACGCGCGCAAAAACGTTCGAATGATTTCGACATGCGCGCGAAGGCCCGATTGGTCGAATTTGATGAAGCGGTTGGAACCGCATGGTTTTCTTCAGGATTCGCTAGATCGCGCGAGCAAGTTTTTTTATACATATATATAACCATGTTGCAGAACAGTGTCTCAGGACGCGCGCACAAAGCGGCAAACTAGTCTTGGGCGACCCAAGCGGGCGCGGTTGCGCTGACCGCTGGAGACTTCCCAGCGCGCGCCTCGCACGCCGTGGTGGCGCGCGGGCATTTCAGTGCGAGTCGGTGGTTCGGGCGGGCGCAGCATCATGGCGACGTCGGCAACGGCAGGCGCGGTGATAACAGTAGCGACGCTTGTGATGACGACGGCGATGATTACAGCAAGGCGAATGACGGCGACTATGCTGACCACGTCGGTGACGATGATGGTGTCCACGCGTCGGCGATGGAGGCTTTAGTAACATTTCGACATGCGGGCGCGGCCGACGGGCGCGAGTGGCCCGCATGGTATTGTTTGACAGAGGTCGCGCCCACCCCGCCCCCCGCCCCCCACCCAACACACGCACACACACACACACACACACACACGCACGCACACATACACACAAACACAAACACACACACACACCACACACGCACAAACACACGCACACGCACACACAGCACGCGCGCAAAAACGTGCGAACGATCTCGACATGCGTGCGCGAAGGCCCGCTTCTTGGTTCCATGTGATGAGCAGGTTTGTAAGCCTATGGTTTGTCCTCAGTCGTATGTGAAAACGCATGTTGCACTGTTGTTTCATGTGTCCAAAGCATTCGATTTTGACATTCCTGCAACAAAAAAATTTTCGGGAGAACTTCGTCACGCGTGCGCGACGGCGCGCGCGCATGAACTTTGTCCCGTTCTGTGCAAGGGACGTCTATCACTCTATGTTCTTAGGTAAACGTGAGTGCGTGCATATGATGATTATGGCTTGTCAGAGATGAAGAGGGCGATGCCGGCCTGGCTGGGTTTGTACGGGCTGATTGTTAGGTGGACGGCTGCGCGAAATCAAATGGACAAGCGCGATCCATGTTCAGAATCAGCAGCAGGACGATACCATATACATTGAATTGCACACCGTCAGGACGAGGCCTATCACACCGGTCTCGGGGGGGCGGTAGATCCAAATTCCTGCTTCGCAAAGAGAGCCGATGTTGTGCAAGCTACGTGGCGCAATCTACGTGGTCCAGTCTACGTGGTCCAATATATGCGGTCCAACATTTGCACTGCCCCAACAAGATTTACTAGCCGTTCGGGGGGGTAAATTCCCGAATAGGCCTGTCTGAAACCACCGCGCCACCGCTTGAATCGAGCGCTTGCCCCCCTCCGCACGGGCAACACACAGCCGCGAAAGCTAACCCGACACCAGCAACATATGCCCCCAAGGCCCAGGCATATGCCCGATCCGAAACTCGACCGCAGCCAAGCCGCCAAAGCCGCTCAAAACAGCCGCGAGGCCATCAAACAAATCCAGGGGGAAGGTGGCCCGCGACAAGATCTGGCAGAGTGCCAGCACAGCCCCGCTACCAGGGTAACTTCTACGCCAAAGCGCGTGCCCCAGCGCAGCTGAGGCAGCTGTCGGACTCGGGCGCCAACGCACTTCTCAGCGCTGAGGGGTTTGAGCAAAAATGGCTAAGTGGAAGTGGGGGCACGACTGGTGGGAAACAGGCCGGAGCGATGAGGGGCGGGAGAGATTGGCCAGGAAGGGGTGGGGGGCAGGGGCGAGGGGGGGGGAGGGGGCGGGAGAGTAAGCTAAGATGGACAAGGGAACGACAAGGTCACGAGGGATGATGGATAAGAGGCCCGTACCTTCCCTCCACCCCTCTTCATTCCTATTTTTTCAATGCGCCGTACCTTCCCTCCACCCCTCCTCATTCCCCATACCTTCCCCGCATCCTCCCTCCATCCCTCCTCGCCCCTCCCATTTTCTAGTGCCCCGTGCCTCTCCCCCCCCCCCCCCCGCAGCCGCCGCGTTCCTCCGTATCTAGTGCCCCGTGCCTTCCCCCCGCCCCTCCTCATTCCCCATCCGCCCTCCTCTGAACTCCCGTGTGGCCTCGTTGCGACCCGACGGCCCGCCTCCTATTCGATATCATCCCCTGCCCTCTGCCGTGCGCTACACGCACCAACATCATGATATGCTAAGTTGTGTGTTCACCTACGGCCGAACTACGGACGAGCCCCATCTTGCACGAGCGATGCACCAGGTGTCCTTCTGGAACTGGCCAGCGCATCCAACTACCAGCCATGAACCAACACGTACCAGCAATCGATGCTGCGATGCTGGCGGCGCCGCCCACCCTAATCGAAAGTTTAGCTCCCAGCGTGAATCATGCTCGAAGCTGTGGTCAAGCCTGGGCAGTGGTGGGCGGCATAGTCCACAATGCAAAATATTGCGTCGAACCTCGCGCCGTCGCATCCCCATTTTCACCAGAGAAGGGGCGGGGGCGAGGGAAGGGGTTTCTCTCCTGCTGGGCGCATCTATGCCTGGAGGCACCCTCGTGCGAGAACGAAGGGGGAAGGAGCTGCGACGGCAGATGAAAAGAAAACTGAAGCGAGCTGTGCTCCCACTCATCCCCTCGACGAGCTCGCGGCTGCGGTGGCTTGCTCCTCCTCGCCCGCGCAGTGCTTCAGCAGGCCATTGGTCGGGCAGTGCGAGTCGTCGAGGTCTTTGCTCTTGAGGTACTTCTTCCAGGCGAAGGCCAGGCCGAACCTGAGCGTGTTGTCGTAGCTGCCAGCCTCGATCCACGTCTTGGACTTGCAGCGCGGGAAAATGTGGACGTGCCGCGCGCCCGTGCCTGTGAGACCCCTCCGCAGGCTCGCCCCAGGTGGGGGGAACTTCTTCGCCTCGGAGTGCACGACCCCGTCCTTGGGCGGCTCGACTGGCCCCTTCCACTTCTTCAGCTCCTGCTTGGTGCGGTTCTGATCGGCAGCCTCGGCAGTGCGCACCGCCTTCGCCTCCTTGCGGTAGACGTTGGACTTCGCGGTAGATTCCTTCCTGATATGTTTCTGGGCGTCCTTCTCAGACAGCGTCTCTCTCGTCATCTCCTGCTCTTCCTTCGCCATGCAATCGATCGCCCCCTGGATGTCCACCAAGCCGCCCTCACCGACGAACTTCACGAAGCAACGCTTCCGCAAGATTTCGCACAGGTCCAGATCTGTCGGCTTCAAAACGTGCGTCACCGGCGCCTGCAAGGTCCCGAAAAGGTCGAGGCCGCCAGGGGGGTCGACGCAAAGGTCTTTGTGGACTGTCTTCAACACTGACAATCCCAGATCCCAAAAGGCGTTCTTGGAAGCCACTCGCAACATAATGTCAGCAGGCCCAGTTGGTTCGAGTCTCATGCAGCACTTTTCGATGCCACCTGGCAAGCTGCGCCCCCCCCCCCCCTCCGCGACAAACTGCATCAGCGGTGAAGTCCAAGACAAAGTGAGGGCATCCCACTCCGATGGATCAAATACGTAAGCCATCTTGAGCGGGGCCGCAGCGTCGAAGTCGATCATGTAGAAGTCGCGCCCAGACCTGTATTTGAAAGGCTTGAGCTTGGCAGTCAATACGCCGATGCCGCACATGTCACCCATGGCGATGCCGTAGTCCGAGTCGGGGGACCCCTTCATTTTGATGGCGACCTTGCCCTGCTTCGCCAAGGCGCAGTACCAGTGCTTCTCTGCGGTGGAGATGTTGACGCCGTTGGCCCTGCAGAACTCCAGCATGTCCATCTCGAAAGTCGGCTTGGAGTCGTTGGCAACGCTCTGGTTGGACCACTTCGGAGACTGGTTGGGGTCAATGATGTTCTGGAGGCCGATCGCCTTCACGTCGTCGGGAGTGTTCTGATGCACCTCTTTTGGGATCCTGGGGGTTCTGACGAGCGGCTCGTACTTCCAGTTGGTGTCCTTGTGGCGGTGAACTTTCGAGACGACATCCTTCGCGATCTAGTTCGCGAAATCTCTGTCGATCCCTCGGTCTTGGCCCGAGGCGTGCTGAATGTCTTTGGCTGACCTGCAGAAGCAATCCTCGGCGATCTGGGACAGCAGTGGCCTCGTCCGATTCTCGCTGAGGAACTCCATGTACCTCGAGGTCCTCTCGGACCCCGATTCGATAAGAATGCCGAGATGCTGCCGAACTGGAACGAGGTTGAAAGGCGAGCTCTTCTTCAAGCGAGCCTCGGGGCGGGCACGTGTTTGCTAGCGGGCGTTCTCAGGGAGTTCCAGATTTAGGCCGCTTGCGCGGCCAGAGGGCGATGTGATTTCAGGGGCCCTTAGAAGTCATATCGACGCGGCGCCCGTGTCCGTGTTTTAGGGCGCTGTTCCCCCCCCCCCCCCCCCCCCTAACGGTCCTTAGGGGGTGTGTGCTTTGGAAACCAGTATTCGGTGCCCTCACGTACCCCCACCCTTCGGCCCACTACCTCTGATCGGCACGGCCCCCCTGAACAAACTGGCGTCGATCCTTCTGGAGGACCGAAGGTTGTGTGAGCCGGAGAATCGAAGGTTAGTGCAAACCGAGGAGATGACTGCAGACAACTGCCAAACTCACAGCACACGTGAAACAAAAACTGGACATTGTTTGTTGCAGGGGGAGGGCCCAGTGGATGATGGGCTCTCGCTCAACACCTTAACCCCCGACAGAGCCCCGAAGCCAACCGTGTCGTCGCCGAGGGCCTTCCAGTTCTCGTAGTCTTGCTTGAAGAGGGCGAAGACCCTGTCCTGGGAAGCGAGGTCACCGAGGGCCGCCACCATGTGCTTGGGCCAGCCCCTCATCAACTTGAAGAGCCTCTTGAAGCGACAAGCGTTCAGGACGAGGGAGTAAGTGCCGATCAACTCGGCCATGTCACCCTCGATCTTCAGAAGCGGGCGGGACGCGGACACTTCGTTCACGTTGACATGGCTGTGATCCACAGCGAAGCCGAGGTAAGCCATCATCCCCTTGCCATCGAACGGTACAGACATGGATTCCACAAAACTTCGAGGAGCTTCCCGTTTACGATTTGGTCCACCTCCCAGTCCGTGACGTTCGTGAGATCCCTGAGGTGCCAGTTGTTGTGGCTATGCCATTGAGCCCACGGCTCGCGGATGGCGAATGTCGCCCTGTCGATGTTCTTGTTCTGCTTGTTGTTGTAGTAGACGATCGCAACCTCCACTTGGTCCTGCGTGGCCATCCTCGCGCGCTTCAGCTCGGCGGCCACCGACTTCATGCTCACGGCCTGGTCGTTGCCCCCGTGCTGGTTCGGTTCGCTGTGCAGCTCCTTCATCTTGACTCCGAGCTTCTTCGTGCTCGGCTGCTCGCGCACCATGGCCGCGTGAGAGAAGCAGACGGCGCGCATCGTGAACTGATCGCGGTCGATGCGAGAAGCATAATGGTCGCCAAGCCACCTGGCGGGGTTGTCCTTCCTGCCAGTCACCTCGCCGAAGCCGACTTCGGCCATGCCATTCCACACCTCCTCCTCGATGCCAATCTCCATAATGCGCGCGGGCTCTCCCATCTCCTCGAGGATGGCGGGCAACGCCTCGCAAAATTTCGGGCACTTGAGAGGGCTGACGAACGTCTTTACCTCCTTCGCGATGTCCTTTAACTCCTTGAACCTCCTGCCCTCGTCGAAGGGGCCATAGATTGCGTTCCTCGCCAACCTCAAAAGCCTCCGAAACGCCCACAGACCGCACATCTTGTCAACCATGTTGAAATCGTTGTCGATGCCGTGTGCCAGATCATCGTCGTCGTCAACATTGAACAAGCCCATCCGAGCTCTGTAAGAACCGCTTCAGGCACTTCATGTCGGGGCCCTGGTCGGAGCACAAGTGATCGCACTTCCAATCGTAGCAGTCCTTCATCTGGTGGTACTGTTCTAATGTGATCTGGACTGCCCCAAGGCCCTCGCCGACGCTCACGAGGCGCATGTTGTGAAGAGCTTTCCCAGCCATGAAGGAGTCCAACCTGCACCTGCGCTTGACCTTTTTTCCACCCGTGGCAACTCACAGGAGTTGCACTTGATGCCCAGAAGCTCCCTGGCCCGCTCGATGTGGGTATTCTCGTACGTCTGTGCCGCCAATGCCGTGCTCTCGCTGTCGTACATCTGCCTGCCACTGTAGATTTGGCTCACCTGAGGGTCTGTCTCGGTCGCACCCCGATCGCTCGGAGCTGCCCTGCAATCGCGACTTCCAGACTGTCGATCGAACCGAACGGACCCAGGAGACCCAAGCGACCCCACCTGGAGAAGGAGCCCGAATAACCAGGATCCGATACCTGAATTTACTAGGATATTCCTGGCATGCGTTTATCCGGAGCCCCCCCCCCCCTGAAACTACCAGGATCAGGATCGCCGATCTACCTGGGAATCCCAGCTTGCCCGCAGAGACTGCGGTGGGCAAATGGCCATTGTATTGTTCGGCTTGAACACAGCGCCGTAGAACTTCTTCTGGTGGTCTGGCGTGGAAGCGCCCATTACGAAACCGAGGTTCATGCTGTCGACCATGGTGCGCTAGCTGACCTTGAGGTACCGCCTGATCACCTGCGCAGCGCCGTGGTTGCCAGATACCGCAACGTCTACGCTGGAGTCGGGCCGAGCGTCAAGATCGTCCGAGAAATCGTACCTGAAGTCGGGGGCCAGCTCGACATCCTTGCCCTTGGCCTTGGCGATCTTCGCGTCGACGAGGTTGCCTAGGCCCCAGACGAGCTGCATTGCGAGCTTGGCGTCCCTGTTGCCAGTGAGGATCTTCTGAATGACGTCAGACGGCTTGAAGTCCTCGCCCTCCTCGTGCTTATCCCAGACGCCAGCATCTTCTCAGCTCACTGGCGTACCGTACTCGTTGAAGTAAGACTCGACAGCGGCGTTGAAAGACTTTCGTTCAAACCTTCCAGCCTTGATGAGCACGACCATGGGCCGCACGCCTGCGATGTCGGGGCCACACCTCCAAGCGAAGCCGCCGACGTTGACCCTGATGCTGCCGTTCTGGATCATGTAAGCGAAGCTGTCAAACAAATCGTTAGCCGAAGCGCGATCCACGTCGGACTTGAAGCGCGAACTTTGATTCTCCGACCCCCACTGAATCAGCAAGCTCATCATGCCGACCACGCTGACCGACGGGAACTTCAGGATGCGCATCGCGAGCTCCTCACTCGACAGTGCCGCTCTCTTGTTCGCGAACGGGCGGCTCTGGCGAAGGTGGTGACGAAGCTGCCACGCGCGCAAGCACCGCTCCCATGCGTCCCGACGGTTCGCGAAGCAAGAGCCCCCGCTCACGTTGAAATGGAGACAAAGCATGTCGAACACGCTCCAAAGGGAAATCCCCACCGACGAATCATACTGAGCATTCTCCCACACAGCGACCATCATGTACCTGGTGGTCTGCGTCCCAGCGGGGTATGCGAAAGCGAACTCGTCGACCCTGCGCATGCCTAAGAAGTCCTCGATCCACTCTGGGGAGTCGCTGTCCGTGGACATGACGAACGTCTGGCCCCAGTCTGACACGAAGGCGTTGTGCTTGAAGAATTCCGTCAGTCAGAAACAAAACATGCCACCGAAAAAAGACTGCCTAAGGGTCAGTAGGCCGAAGTGTTCAAAAAAGCAGTCGGCGCCACTTCCTCCGTCTCTTCCGTAGCGATGTTGGCTGAAGCCATTTTGGCTCAAGGGGGCCAGACGGACCAATTTTGGAACGGCGTTCCGTTTTCTGCCCGCCTGCTCAGGCGGGCAGAAAATGGAACGCCTCCAAACTTTGCTTGGGCATGGATTTTGGGCAGGTGGCAGGTAGCAGGTTTTATTTGGCATGGATATTTCGTTCCGGAGCAGAACCACCCAGTGCGACTCGTCTGGGCTATCGATGCAGGCGTAGTTGTCCTTCAAATCAATGACCCAATAATCCGCGCCCGCTGGTGGGGCCAGTATCTTCGCGGTCTCGTGGGTCAGCTGACTCTTCAAATAGTGATGCTTCTTGCAAGGGTCGATCCAATGCTCGACGATGCCGTTGTGCGCCACCTGCAGGCCGTGTGCACCGCCAGCCACGCCGACTGCAATGGCGGCCTGGGGCACTGACTGACCGTCGCCGACGTCACCGTCGCCCGCTGCAGCGCCCGCGCCCTGGCCCCCCAGGGGAGCCAGGGCGCCGTCGTCGACCTCCATCGCCAGGCGACTGAGCCGAGGTCGCCTCGCAGTCTCAGTATACGCGCACGGGCTGCGCTAAGAGCCCGCGCTGCTACGACGGACGAGGGAGTTGGTGGATGGGCGAGGGCAGAACCGAGCGGAGCTCCGCCGCCCCCAATCTTCCCCCCACCGTCGCTCGCCCCCTCGAGACCCCCTCCGAACCGACAGCGAATGGGGCTGTTTACATGGGGGGCTCTATGTGCTCTCCTTGCACGCCGTCCGCCTCGCTGCGAGCGAGGTAGCCAGCTTGCCCGCTGACCTCGACGGCTGACGTACAAGCGACGAAAGGCGAGACGGTGGGGGACCAAGTGGGCGACGAGCAGGATCATCGCCGGCGACGGCAATCGACTGGAGAAGGGCGACGGTTGCGGTCGACGTCGACGTCATCGTCGTCGTCCTCGTCGTCGTCGTCGTCGTCGAAGTCGCCGCCGACGCCGATCGCAACCGTCGCCATCTTCACAATCGTCGGCAACAGCAGCAAGCAAGAACTCGATCAACGATGCTTCGATGGCTCGATGGGACACGCACTGTGGAAATCTTATCTGAACGTCGATGGCAACCCCATGCTTTCGCAAGCCATAGCGCTGATAGCCGAGCGAACATCGGATCGTGCACTGGCCTCGAGGGCACGAAGCATGCAACAAATGAAAACATATGGGTAGGTTTCCGATGGAGTTTCGTTCTCGCATTGCCCTCGAATCCAGGCAACAAGAGCTCTGTGACAGACACCACATCAGCTCTATCGCCGCTCAAATTCGAAGAAAAGCTGCTGCTCAAAAGAGCGCCCAGTGAGCCTGGGCTTCGAAGTGGTGGTGGGCTGGGGCAAGAGGGAAATGACTCAATCCAGCTCACACGGATGGCCAGTCTGCTCTGGCGCAGTGAAGCTCGATGGCCGAGCCTCAGGACTAGCAGGCATGGCGTACTCAGGGGGGCTCTTCCCGCGCCTGCGCCTCGAATCCTTCTGTACCTCCTTGATAGTACCTGAAATCTTCACGTCGGTGGACAAGGTCTTCGCAAACTCCTCGTCGAGATCAGTGCCAACCTTCTGGACGTAGTGCTTCTGCTTCAACTGGCTCGATGGGCTTTCGGCGAACTGATACCACGGCTGGTCAGCCTCGCCACTGAATCGGGTGAAACAAGTGAAGACAGAATCCCCGTCGGTCCCCTGCGCAAGCCTGTCGCTCCAGTTGTTCGTGAAATACCATTCTGAGTTGACCGTCGTGTTCTTCGGCACCGTCGCACGAGCACCAGAAATACGAATCAAGTCCGAAATCTTGCCTGTCTCGCCTGGCTCGCCGCACCTGTACACCCCGAGAAACTTCCAAGTCAAATCGGCAGGGTTAGGAAATAGAACCCGAAACGACGGCCAGCGAGAACCAAACGCAACGTACAGGACTGCAACGACGCGGACGGTGAGCTTCTTGTTTTTCATATCCTCGAAGGTTTTGTATGTAGACCTCAATCCAATAAGACGCTCGAGGGGCCTCCTGAAGTTGTCCCTGTGCTTCTTACCGGTGATCTTGATTGCGGTGCTGCTGAAATAGCTCGGATCTTTCGCATGGACCACTTCCCACACCCAGTATTTGGGCAACTGGATGAGTTTCTCCATGTCGGCCGACAGCTCGTCGACGTCGTCGTCGACGGCCTTGCTCGACTTGGGCTTCTTAAGAACGGGCCCGCGGCGCATATCATCACCCTGCACTGCGCGAAGTGTCGGCAACAACTTTGCTGGCGACGCCAGCACCTCCATGCACACGGTGGCAAATACTTGCGGCAGCTTCGAAGTGGAGGAATCTTGAGCGCACTGCTTGTCGAAGTTCGTTTTCTCCTTGACAACCATGGCCCAGGTAACTTTTGTGCCGCCAGGGCTGCTAGCTGACGGGCTGCCGACTGCTGCTGAGCGTTTCTTGGTCGACGCCTGCTTATCTTTGGAGGGCGTGGCGAACCATGTTGGTACTCAGGTTCGCCGTGGGGACGCGGCGCGAGAACGCGCCTGGCGAAAGCAAACTCCACTGGGCCAAAATGGCGACGGAAACAAGGGATCCCATTCGCAGTTGCGTCGCAAGCAGTGGCATCACAACTGCCAGGGCCGCCTGGTAATCTGGATGGTTCAGGGAGGCGTCGTGCTGGCTTTGCATTCTGAGAAAGGGGTCAGTTGACCCTCCACGCGCATGGGGTCCTCCAGGGAGCCATGAGCCCATGGGTTGCCGATTTCACCTGGTGTAACTGGTTTGTGCTGACTCACCCCTCCTCTACAAAAAAGAAGCCATAAGAACCTAAATCAAATCAAACATCAACCAGGACAATCACGGACTGAACAACGCATATGGGACGCCAACGCAAGCGCATCAAAACTACATGGCAACGCGCGCCAGAAGCGTGAAGACCGCCCCTCCGAAAATCTGCCAACATCCACCTCTACAACACCACGAATACGTTCCTAGAGTGCGAATGGTGTTGTTGTTGCGTGTCGTGTGTTTGGTGGCGTGGTAGTTGTTGCTGCTGTTTGTTAGTTGCATGCCGATTCCTTTTGTGTTGCATGTTGTAGGTTTGCCTGTTGCTTGCTAATTGCATGCCGTTTGCTTGTTGTTTCCTAGTTGCGTGTTGGATGTTGTTTGCTAGTTGCATGCCGTTTGCTAGTTGCATGGTGTATGCTACTGTGATACTTGCATGCCGTTTGCTTGGTGATTGTTAAAGCATCTTGTTGTAGGCACCCAATGTGCGACCAGCCGTTTTTTTGTTGGTTGCATGCCTGGTGCCCGAGAACGCCCCATCCATGAACAAAGACGCAACGTCAAGGTATCGCCTAGACCTACTTCGGCATCGCAAGCACCCTCCCCCCTCATCGTGGTTCGTCTGCTACTCCGCGCGATCACACTGCTGCCCACCCTCCTCGTTCATGGGTCCCTGGGTTATCCTTATCGTCGCCGTCGGCTTCCCTTTCCTCCTCATCCGTATTCTTTCGCCCCTCGTCCTCCTGGTCCTCCTCCTTTTTCTTGCGGATCCGCGCAGTCCTTTCGGACGCGCATTACCGTCAGATGTTGGCGAAATTGCTTCGCTAGGTAAAACCAGCCGCCCGAACGGCGAGTGTATCTTGTTAAGGCAGGACTTTGTGGTGCATCCAATGAGGCGCAATGAATTGTTGCCCACAGTGACTGGTTAACTCCATTGCTCGCGCAATCGTCCCACCAGCCTTCCCGCAACTTGGTTTGCAAAATCGTTGCGGCGGCGATTGCGATGACTGCGAGGCGCTGGCTGGCGCGTCGTTGCGGCCGCGATAGCGCGCGCAGGCTCGCGCGCAGAGCGGACAGCCAGTCTGGCGCGACCCACGCAGCCACGGTGGCGCTGACCACTGGGGACTCCCCAGCGCGTCTTGCAAGCCGCGCTGGCTCACGGACACTTTAGTGCGAGTCGATGACTCGGGCGGGCGCGGTATCATGGCGACGCCGACAGCGGCAGACACGACGATGATTGTAGCGACGCCTGCGACGACGATGACGGTGACGACGGCGAGGCCAATTACGGCGCCAATGCTGATCACGCCTTTGACGATGATGGTGTCCACGCGTCGGGGGTGAAGGCTCCGGAGAGGATTTCGACAGGCGCGTGCGCGGCCGCCGGGCGCGATTGGCCCGTCTGGTGCTTTTAATAAGGGTCGTGGCCCCCCAGCACGCGCGAAAGGGAATTCGAATGATATCGACATGCGCGCGAGAGACACGTGCACGTTGAGAAACCAATGTTTTTTGTTTTGCCGATTCGGAAAAAAGCGCGCAGACATGTGTTTCAACAGTCTTGTTGCAAAACCATGCGTTTTCTATGTGCTTTACGGGCATGCGATGCTGAAATCCAAGCGGCACCTGAGATGTTTGAAAGATTGTGGCATGCGTGCGCGCGACGACGCGCGCGTCCGCTGCAGCGGGGACCTCGCATTCGGTGAGGCGCTGTCCTCTCGCCGTTCGGGCCACTTGTCTGCGTCTGAGGCCGTTTCCGTCGTGGTCGCCCCCTGCAGCCCCCCTCCTCCGTCCTCCCCTGGTCCTCCTGCTCCTCCCACTCCGTCCATCCCAATTCTTGCTGCTGCTGCTGCTGCTCGTTCTCGTCCCCGTCCTTTCTTATCCTCCCCCTTTTCCTCGAGAGCGGGGGATGGTGGCGCACCTCGTTTTTCGGATGGTGATTGTTTGTTCATGCCATTTTCCCTGTAGTCCCCCGCCTCCGCCTTCCCCTGGTCCTCTTGCTCCTCCCACTCCGTCCTTTCTTATCCCCCCCCGCTTTTCCTCGAGAGCGGGGGATGGTGGCGCACCTCGTCTTTCGGATGGTGAATGTTTGTTCGTGTCCGTTTCCGTCGTGGCTGCCCCCTGCAATCCCCCTCCTCCGCCTTCCCCTGGTCCTCCTGCTCCTCCCACTCCGTCCATCCCAATTATTGCTGCTGCTGCTGCTGCTCGCTCTCGTCCCCGTCCTTTCTGATCCTCCCCCGTTTCCTCGAGAGCGGGGGATGGTGGCGCACCTCGTCTTTCGGATGGTGATTGTTTGTTCATGCCCGTTTCCCCTGTAGTCCCCCGCCTCCGCCTTCCCCTGGTCCTCCTGCTCCTCCCACTCCGTCCTTTCCAATTCTTGCTGCTGCTGCTCGTTCTCGTCCCCGTCCTTTCTGATCCTCCCCCTTTTCCTCGAGTGCGGGGGATAGTGGCGCACCTCGTCTTTCGGATGGTGAGTGTTTGTTCGTGTCCGTTTCCGTCGCGGTTGCCACCTGCAGTCCCCCTCCTCCGCCTTCCCCTGGTCCTCCTGCTCCACCCACTCCGTCCATCCCAATTATTGCTGCTGCTGCTGCTCGTTCTCGTCCCCATCCTTTCTTACCCTCCCCTTTTTCCTCGAGAGCGGGGGATAAAAGCGCACCTCGTCTTTCGGATGGTTTGTTCATGCCCGTTTCCGTCGTGGTCGCACCCTGCAATCCCCCTCCTCCGCCTTCCCCTGGTCCTCCTGCTCCTCCCACTCCGTCCTTTCCAATTCTTGCTGCTGCTGATCGTTCTCGTCCCCGTCCTTTCGTATCCTCCCCTTTTCCTTGAGGGCGGGGGATGGTGGCGCACCTCGTCTGTCGCATGATGACTGTTTGTTCGTGTCCGTTTCCGTCGTGGTCGCCCCCTGCAGTCCCCCTCCTCCGCCTTCCCCTGGTCATCCTGCTCCTCCCACTCCGTCCATTCCAATGCTTGCTGCTGCTGCTCGTTCTCGTCCCCGTCCGTTCGTATCCTCCCCTTGCTCCTCGAGAGCGGGGGATAGTGGCGCATCTCGTCTTTCGGATGGTGATTGTTTGTTCATGTGGTTGTCAATCGGATGTCGCACCCGTCCTCCTCGTCTTTCTCCTCATTCTTCTCCTTCTCCTTGTACAGCTCCTTCTCACTCCTCCTTCTCCTCCTCTTCCTTCCCTCCTACGTATCCTCCTCTTCCTTTTTTCTCCTTTCCCCGATGAAAAATTCAACTGCATGTCGTTCCCTGGGGGGGGGGTGGAAGAGGGGGGAGGAAGAGGAGGAAACGCCAGAACCACGGACTGAGAAGGATTAGCTGGCTCCTTGTCCTGCTCATACGGTTCCTTTTCTCTCCTCCGTCTCCTCCCGCTCCTCGCTTCTCCTTGTCCTCCTCAATGGCGTTCTCATTGTGGGGGCGGGAGGCGAGGAGCAACAGCAGGATGAGCGGGCTGAGGAGGATGAGCTGGGGGGAAGGAGGAATAGGAGTACAGGTAGGAGCAGGAGCTGGAGGATGATGAGGAGAAGGGGGTAAGCGCATGTCCCGACGCATTGAACCTCCACCGTTGTGCACGTGGGGGGAGGGTGGACTGTTCTCACTCACCAGATGGCCACTCGAAACACACCCCTCGTCGAAACTCGCGCGATCTGCACACCCAGAACCCCCTGACACGAACAATGGCTCTGGTCGCCCCGCTTTCTAGAAACATTTCTCAGCTTGGCAGGCAATAAAACCCCCGCAGCTGCAACTCCCAGCTGTCATGGTTTGCCTAGCTCCCCGTGTGCACATCTGGTGCGCCAGTGTACTAGTCGGCGCTGTGCCCGCGCGAGCACGGAGCTATGCAGCACGACGCAGCAGCTGAACATTCATGCATTCACGGAATGAACCACGACAATCAAGAGAACACGCGTAGGCTTCGCGCTGGCACACCTGGTGCAGCGCTACACTGGCCAACCAAAAGTTAGCGCATACGTAGGTGGATGACTGTGTGACTGCAGGTGCAGATGCGCGCAGCGTCTCCAACACCTAGCCCGAATGCTCTACCTGGCTTCTTGCGCGTCAGCCCTACTGGCAGCCGTCATGCGTCTTTTTGCCCTGCGTGGCCTTGAGACTCTCAACGCGCTCCCCCCTTCCCCATTCTCGATAGGCTCCGACTGCTGCCATTTTGGGCATGGGGGCCAGGATGCTTCGACGATGCTCTGATGGTATTTGCGTGGCGATCCGGGGCCGACATCTCTCAATGAGGAACAGAACGAACGATAACGGACTGAAATGTTGGTCCTCCCCCATGTTCAAACACGTTTTTCATGCTCCCACTCCTTGCCTCCCTCCCTTCCCCTCTGCGTTTTCGGTGGGGTCGTTCGTATCGAGATCCCCTTCGCCAAGATGCCTTCATATACTCCGAAAGTTGCAGAGCCCTGCAGAACATGGTCCTCGAATTTCCCCATGCCGTTTGGCACAGGCAAGGCTGGCACTTCCAGAACCGTGCTCGGGGGGAGAGAGAGGGAGAGAGAACGAGAGAGAAGGCGAGAGAAACAGAGAGAGAGAGAGACAACAAAACAACTGAAGAAAGAGAGAGAGAGAGAGAACAATACA